TCGAAACTGGCATAATCCTACGATCACGAATCGATACCGATTGACCTATCCGTCACGCGCCATGTACCGATTCGCGAGGCCGCTGCTCGGCCTCGGCAGCGCAGCCATGCGCCCCCAGCAGCCCTTCACCAGAGTTCTCCCCGCGGCCAAGAGGATAGCAGCGTCGCCTGTCGTGGCCGTGTCGGCGAGGAGGGGCTACGCAAGCAAATTTGCGGCGGACATGCGGATGAGTTCGCGCCAGAACAAGAAAGCTTCGCAGGCCGACGGCGGATATTCTGCCAGCGAGATCGAAAAGTCCATGACTATGGCACATATTATGCTTCCAGGTGCGTTCTCAGTATCGAGATGGTGTGATTTAGTAGGCACACTTCATACGTGGAGGGAGCAGGAAAGAGACAGACAGAGAATAGCGCGTTGACACGGCATTCACAACAGGAACCTTTGTCACCGTACCCTTCTCCCAACTCGACAAGTCCCCCAAGGCCCTCTGGGCATACAACTACGCCCGCCTCAAGCAACGCGTGCTAGACTTCTTCGCCGTCTTCGGCGCAAAGGTCCACTCCATGCCGAACTGGACCACCAAGCCGCGCTTCCAGCTCAGCTACACCAAGATCGTCCCCGAGGCCAAGGCCCTCCACCGCCGCCTGGGCGAGGCCCTGGCCGCCGGCGACAAGGACACCCTCCGCGAGATCTGCACCCCGGCCCTCTACCAGACCCTGTCGGCCGTCATCTCGCGCCGCAAGGCGACGGAGAAGCTGACGTGGGAGCTGCTCCGCTACGACGGCAAACCGCGCATCGTGAGCCACAAGATTGCGATGATGCCGCCGCTGGGCAAGGCGCCGGTTATCCAGCAGGTCGTCGTCGCCATCTCGAGCTCGCAGAAGCTGGACAAGATTGAGAAGTCGACGAATAAGCCCGTCAAGGGCGGGCTGCGGGTGCAGAACCAGACAGAGTACTTTGTCATGACCAGGCAGTTCAACCCCAAGACGTGGGCGCCCAAGAAGTGGATCGCGTGGGGCAACACGCAGGCCACGACGATGGAGGACTGGGAAATGATGCAAAAGGGCATCAAGGATATGGAGAAGAAGGATTATGCCAAGAGACGGGGGGAGCGGCTGTGAGGCTGGTATCTTTTGGTCGCACTGGTGAGGACGACAACAGGAGGTTGTGGCGGGCATGTGTATGAGGAGTGAAACAAAAACATGTAATGAGTGTATTATATGTGTCTGATTAAATGGCTGGCTATAGAACGGGCCTGATTGCATAGGAGCAAAAGACTCTCCGACCGACCACCAAATACAAGAATCAAAATCTCCCCCTTCTCCCTACTTCGCTAGGGTTATTTTCCCTTCCGTGGGTATTTATTCCACTTTTCATGTATTGATACGAATTGCTATGCAAGGATCAAATGGTACTTCAGGAAAACACCTTCTGATCGCTTATGCTTTGCTTACTCCGAGTAGCATGCTCACCGTTGAGATCGAGGCATGGCCCTTAGAAGAACTTGCCAGCGGGCTTAATGACCTCAACCTCAGAGTTGGCCTCATACTCGTCCCTCTCAACATAGCGAGGGGCGCCGTCAGCCTCGGGCGTGAACCCAGGCCCGACAGGCCGATCGAGCGCGTCGAAGCGGCGACCGCTCTTCTTGGCCAAGACGTACTGGAACGCCAACCGGCACCCCAACGCGCCGAACCCCCAGAGGAAACTGCCCACGGGCGCAGCGACGAAGGCGCCGAACACACTCCAGTCGTTGGCGTACAGGCCCTCGGAGATGATGAGCAGGTTACCCGCCTTTTGCGCGTCGCCGTCGTAAAAGACGAGACCGAACAAGAAAACGGTGAGGATGCCGCCCAGCCCGCCGGCGACGACCTCGAAGCCGCGCCACCAGTAGAAGCGGTCGACCAAGCCGAACACGAGGACGGGGATGACGGAGGCGGAGACGAGGTCGGAGATGAGGTAGATTTGCAGGACAGAGGGGGCTTTCAGGGCGATGACGACGGTGGGGAAGATGATGAGGACGACGCCGGCGCGGATCCACCAGATGTTGAGGCGGTTGCGGAAGAGGTCGTTTGAGGCGGAGGAGACCATTGCGGATTGCAGGCTGTCAAAGGCCGCGGTGGAGAGGGTGCAGACCATGACGAGGACGATGCCGACGACCCAGGCGGGGAGTTGTTGGAGGAGGAGGAAGAAGGCGATGGAGCCGCTGTCTGCGATCTGGTCTAGCGGGAGCGCGCCGGACCAGGCTGCTACGAGGCCGGTTACGCCGACCATGGTGAGGATGCAGAGGATGATGACGACGGCGATGGAGACGCCCACGCGGAGGTCTTTGTCTGTTTTGGAGGCAAAGGTGCGGAGCCAGAAGCCCGAGAGGAAGAAGTCGTTTGTGAGGATGCAGATGGGGAGGATGTAGAGGAGTTGCCAGCCCAGGAGGGTTGGTTTGAGAAGGCCTGAGGTTTCGATGAGGGAGGTGTCGATATCTGTTTTGACGCCCATTGTGATTGCGACGATGATGATGAGGCAGATTACCATTGCGCCTTGGATGTTGTCCGTCACAAAGGAGATGCGGAAACCACCGAGGGCTTAATGATTCGGACGTTAGTCTGATATTCTCTATTTCTCCAGAATACCGGCGGGGGAAACTTACATGTGTAAATGGTGGTGATGACACACTGCACAATCATGACGGGCAAGCCATCCAGACTCGTCAGGGCGTTGACGACCTGTCCGATGGCGGACAGCTCGGCGACCATGTACAGGAACAGCGTGACGAGGGTCATGAAGCTGAGATACAACATGGCGACGGTGCCGTAGCGCTGCCTCGTCCAGGCCGTGAGGACGAAACCCTCGGGCGTCTTGCGGCGGATGACGGGGCCGAGGACGGCGAAGATGAGGAGCGGGAGAGAGGACGAGAGGGCGTAGACGAGGACGCCCTGGACGCCGGTGATTGTGGCGAGTTCCGGGTAGGAGAAGAGGATGCCGGAGCCGAGGGCTTAGGTGTGTTTGTCAGTATTTCACGAGGCCGAGGCAAGGTAGAAGGAGAGAGGGAGGGGAGGGGGGAGAGATGTTCGGAGCGGCAGCACGTTTCCCACGCAAGCATTAACTTGATCGAGTAATTACGGTGCAATCTCAGCTTCATTTCCACATTTCGCGGCATCTCCTCTTCTGTTGTGTCGTCTCAGAAGGAGACCTCCAAGAAGGACTTTCCAGAGACGATGAGAACGGAAGAGGGTGGATGCGCGGCGACTGCTTCAAATCCGCGCCCGTAGTGAGCCGCATCCCCGATGTTTCCATCTCCCCCCACCCCCTTTTTCCTGATGACATCTTCAGAAGGGGGGAGGGTTTCCCACAGATAATTCTGGCCACATTCAAGGTGTGCCTCAGGGTGGCCAGAAAGGTTAGTAGGCTTGTCTCCGCCGATTCAGAAGATGAGATCAGAAAAAAGGGAGTGGGGGGAAATGGAAGTCGAGGAGTAATTGTTGATCTTCTTGTTGTTGGGTTACGAACCTGCCTGTCAGTCATTCGATTGGATTCCTGGCCCGTAGTCATTCGTCTCATGATGATTCTGTTCATGAGAAGAATCGGGGATAGAGAAGTCGATCATCTCATATCATCTGTTGTAGGCTTGCGTTGTGCTGTGCGGTTCGTGGGAAAGTAGTCTCGTAGTCTTTGCTGTTTTCCGTGCCGTTCTGCCGCTCTTCTTTCTCGAAGATGCTTTGCTATCGGGTTAAGAAGCGCAGTGGCTAGACCACCCGCGTCTTCCTCACTCACCAGAGGCGATAAAGTTGAGGGCCAGGGGGAAGGCTGCGGGGAGTGCGTGTTAGTTTGCTATACATTGGGGGATCCGAATGAGAGTCGAGCTTGTTGACTGTTTCTCAAGGGAATGAGAGCCAAGTGTTGCAGACGCGGTCAGATATAAGAGACTCAGCCTCGTCTGGCCCCATTAAACACATATACTCTCACTCTCATTCTCATGATGCAAAGGGGAAGAGTTCCTGACCCGTCTGAGTTCTATTTCCAGACAGGAACTCTCCCTTGGACTGATTGCGGAACTTCCACGCAATGGCAGTACCGGTGATACTGCGCAAACGTTAGTACCATACACTCTTCAGGAGGGAGGGAAAACAGCAGCGATAAAGGGTGTTGAGATTGAAAGAGCTGCGCAGAGTTCATACAGGAAGAGTCCATAGGTGACGTAGATGAGGGCGTTGGACGCCGCGAAGGATGGTTGACCCATAGTTGCAGTTTAAGCGCAATTGTCAATTGTCAATCTTATACGGTAAAAAGCAGATTATAAGGCTGCGACGCAAAAGTTGCGATGAATTTTCAATCTCTGTCACACGTCGTGAGAGAGAGAGAAGAGAAGTCAAAAGGTGACGATGATACAGAGCGCGTGGCGTGAGTAACAAGCGAGATTTGCGCGCGAATAAAAGTAGACGATTATTAGAGAGAAAAATCCTCTCACACTCGGCGAATTAGATGGTCAGATAGTGGACTGGCTAGGCCAGGAGCAGCGTGGTTTGGCATTGGGTAACCACCGCCTTGGGTGCACCACTACATCCTAATCCTCTGACGGGATTAGCTGATGGTCTGAGAAAGAGTGGACATCTTTGATCGCGGTGTGGGGGTTGTCAAAGTAAAGTCGCAGCGATCAAGTGGCCGACTGCGGCGATGGGCCATTCAGAGCCCTTTTCTTGGATTTTTGGTGTGGGCGCCGCGCTACCGATGTGGAGGGGTCCCGAGGTGGTGGGGGGTCAGTCGTACCGTTCTTGATTCTGGAGTCTTGGTTCTAAGCTTCTGCTTTAGTTACGAGGACTCGAGGAGGCTGGGTGTTAGTTTGAGTAAGGGGAAATCTGCCATGGATATCAAGAACTACAAGGAACCCTTTTCCACGATATCACATGACCTTAACCTGAGATGCGAGGTAGAACTTTTGATAGTCAAGTACCTTACGAGTACTCGGCTCTTTATGTAATCGGATCTCAAAGTGGGTCCGCCGGACCATGGAGGGAAGGGGCGCCGCGCCGCACCGCGCCGCGCGTGACCGCCACGGTGCCCAGGCGCCCGATCTAAGCCCGTGCATCTTCCGACACTCAACGACCACAGCGCCGAACATCGCCGGCCCCTTGACGCCATACTGGCCGACTTCCCCCAGTTCTAAGCTGGTTTTCGATGTAAGGCCTTAGAAGCCGGTGGACTTCCGGCATCCCTCCGGAAAATGCGGGACCGGTACGGAGGTCACCAAGGCATCTTCCGATTCCAACAGGCGCCGTAGATAGTCGTTGTCACGGCTACTGATACTCTAGCCTCGCAAGACCACCCCAAAACCTCAGAGCTCAGCTGTTCAGTGGCTTATCCTTGCGTCAGCTCTTGTCTCGGTCTGAACGTCACTGACTGAGCCATAGGCACGCGCGCGTCTCAGGATTTCGGTACCGTGTGGAACGCGGATCGTGGATCATCGCGGCCGTCTGTCTTACCAATGAATTGCCCGTGTCAGTTCGAGATCGAGAAATTCACAACCACTGGGAGTTCCGAAACCTCCTCTTCCCCTCCTTTCACCATGCGATAGCTACCTGACGACCTCGTGTCCAGGCTGGGCAAGTCTCAACCTGCACATGGGATGCCATGCCTGCATTGTTCACTACTGAACGCAAATGGGTCATGAAACTCTTGCTTCGATCGTCATTTGTCAAAAAGGCTAGACAGATCTTCAGGTCCTGATCCAGTTGCCACAGCTTGCCAACCCCTCCAGATTGCTTCATGTCTAAGATCTGAGACTTGGCATTCCGCGACCCGCGGCAGGATCGATGCCCAACTCAGTACACCACTACACCGCGAAGTCGATATCGAAACTTGCCTCGAGACAAGTAAGCCTTCGTCGGTCCGCATCCATTGCACAGGTAGTCAATACCTTAAGCTAGCATAGCCGTGCCGCTCAGCAAGCTCATCAAGCAGCATGCAGGATGCATCACGATATCTCGAAAGACGGGTAATACCCTATCCAACATTAAGGCGATCGGTTCAAACGACCATTATACGCGTAAATCAAAGTCTAACCAAGGTGAGGGTTTGAGAAACCACTTTTCTTTTTGTTGAAGATCCCGCTTCCAAAACTCCAAATGCAACTGCCATCGAAGGACTTCATACAGTCCAACAAGTTTTTTCCAATCATAAAATCAAATGGGTATAAGGTGCGCCGCTCCCAGATGCTCTAATAAGCCATAGACGTGCCTGGCCACACGACCCCAATCACCGCCTCGTAGATACCGGTACGCCTTGGGAGGATCCATCTCTCTCTCTCGCCCTGGAAATAAGTTTTCTCGCCTTTCGGTAGGCGGTTTTGGTCGAACAAATACATGATTAGGAAAAGGTTGTGCAAGTGTTTCGGTCGTCTTTCACGGTTCGTTGCCAACGACACCGGAAGACGATGCTGATAGTGATGATGGTGGTGTTGGTGGTTGGATGTCTCTCATTCCTGGTTGGGATCGAATTTGGATCGGTCAATCATGTGCTCCCAGGGCACCTCGGTCTTGACGCCCTTCTTCATACAGCTCTTGCATACAGAGGAGTCGTAGTCGACCTGCGTGACCACCACCTTACACCGCTTCTGCGTCTGGCTGTACCGGTAGCACCACTCTGAGGCGCCCGTGAAGTGGTGCCCGCAGGCGTAGTTGCGTCGGTACCACTCGCACATGACGGGCGGCGCGGGGCGGTGGGTGGCGGTGGGGGTGAAGAGTTGTTGATGAAACAGAGAGGGTGAGGTTGGCGGTAGCTATAAAAGCTATCTGAATCTTCTTCGTCAGCATCGGTCTTGCTCTTCAACAGACGTCGAAACCTACACGAGGGTAGTGTATGTGCGTGTGCGTGTGAGCGTGCGAGAGGTTGATTTAGACTGAAAAGAGGGGACTTGGCATGACAACTCGGTCAAGGCAAGTTGCAAGGGCCGACAGATACCGGTGAGCGAGAGCAGCCTGTCAGACGACGTCCCGAGGTGATGGTTCAAGCGGGTATATGTAAGATCTTAAGCTCAGGTGGCTGCAGGAGCGGGATCGATACGGCTTAAGGGGGAAAGGTCCGAGGGTAAAGATTGTATAGGATCTCAGAAAAAAGGTTGCCGCTTAATACCTACCCTTCCCATCCCTCGATCACATACCCCCCTCCCCCCTTCGATATTCTGCCCACCCTCTATCTGGGAACACTTGGCGGGCGTATGAGCTGGATGAGAAGGCATGGGCACAAACCCGCGGGCCTGGCCCTCGAGAAATCGTTTCTTTTGCGGAAAGAAAAAGATGGGGAATTGCGCATGTACACATCCATTTTGTCTGTGTTGCGTATCGATGATGAGAGTCTGCCAAATTATCAAGGGAAACGGTGGATGTTTTTTGCCCTTGTCTCAAACCAAAAGAAAGAAAAAAGTAGGATAATTAGCCTTTATTTTCCCTCTGCTTCTTCTTTCTCTTCTTCCTCATCAACTTCTCCAAAAGCAATCAGTCGTAACCTATTGCTCTCGCCCCCCTCCCCAAGGGTCCTTGCGGAAAGCTGCTGGCACGACTAGGATCCGTTTGTCTCTCCTCGTGCCGTTTGCCGCATCTTTTTCTTTCGGCCGTGGCCAGGCAGCCCCCAGGTTGTGTTTTCAAGACCAGACTACGCCTGGTTGTCACCGACGACACGGGTGGAATGAGTTGATTCGAGTCAGCAAGGTACGAATACCTACCGGGGCATGGGCAAAGTGCCATTCTGCCCAGCGGATTTCCTTGTTGCAAGGAAGGACTGGAAAAAGGAAAGAAAAAGCAAGTATCCGATCCACGAGCTCGGAGGGATCACAAATGGTTTTTTTTTTCTCATTTTTTGATGGTTTCCTTGCGACCAGCCTTGTTGGTCCATCTCTCCCGGCGCTACCACCTTCGGAAGACGGCAAGCCCAGCGAATAGGAGAGGGATTCAGTACTTTTCTGATCTTTGTCAAAGAAGGGACTCGAAAAAGATTCGATAGTAACACTGTAACGAGCCGCGCTGGGCACGGAGCCTCAGGCCAATGAGCCAGAGCTATGGGCGATTTGCGGGCGGGAGTGTGAAATCTCACCTTCTGCATGAATCCCTGTCTGGCATATCCCCGAGAGACGTGCGTGGTATCGAAGATTGGGCAGCGAGATGAAGGGGAAGGGGAAGGGGGAGGGGAGGGGCCGCGCCAGGCTTGCTGTTTGATACACCTACTACTGTGTAGGTAAGGTAAGGATACTGGCACACTTGGGCTTCAGGCACCATGTTTCTCTCTCGGTTCCCCCAAGAGAAGAGGAACTCTCACAAAGGTGGCGCTGTCATGCGGCGGAAACGAAAAAGTGAAATGTGACGGGCGTCCCGAGATGGGGTATCCGCGCGATTGGGGCGGACGATCGCCCGGGTAATCAACCCCGGCGAGGAGACCAGGGTTGTCAACATTCCTCGAAATGGGGTGTCCACAGAGACGGGGCGGAAAAAGAAAGCATTCCGTAGCAAGCGATAGCATGAAGTGAGGGACACCCACCACCTAGTCTACGCTCGCAGCAACACGGTAGCACGAACTGACACCATACCATACATATTTCGCTTCTCCTTGCACGTATCGCTGTTCTTTTTTTTTCCTCTTTCTGTGCAACCATGAGAGCAGAGCAGAATCTTCAAGGACCACACCCCCCTTATGACGCTCATGCTGAGATACTATGACGGATTGCTACAGACACACATACACCCACCCTTCTCTATGTCACTCACACATACTTACCTACCTTAGTGTTGCCAGTGACATATATGGCTGAATATCTGGCTGGACCTCATAGTAACTGCATAAGACCTTCGAGCCTTGCCGAGAAGAGTAAGACATGATGGGGGACAAGGCACGCAGAGCCAGAACTGGGGTAACGGGAGGGACATGAGGGAGAAGCAAAACCTTGCTATAAATGAATTGTTGATCCATCTTATTGCGGGCAAAAAAAATACTCCAAGAGACTTTTTGGAGGGGCGGCCGGGCCTTCTGTCTCTTTCTCTCTCCCTTGCCCTGAGGATCAAAGACAACAAGCTCCAGCTCAGCTCATACTCTCCACCCCATTCCCGTTCTGTCGTCTCTGCAGCCCAAGCCAGCCTTGCCAATTTTAAAGAAGTTTGGGACGTATCCGGTACGTACGCAGCCAGCATCAGCATCGGAACAGCCCGTTTGTGTCGAGTCGTGCCGTGTTGGTCCGTCGGTGATGGTATCCAAAGAGATCCTTGGTCGCCAGGAAGGAAAGCCGAAGAAAGCAACTCGGGGTGGATACAAACAGAAAACAAACAGGTCTAGAGACTGCGACTTGCCGACAGATCCTAGATATCCGCGCAGCTGAGATGACGACAGATCGATCGCTAAACCTCGTAAGCTCTTTTTTTTCCCATTTATTTCATTTTTCACTCTTTACTTTTTATTCGTCTAGCCTTTTTCACGCTTCACCCCACCACCCCGGGTATCGGCCACACAACAGGACTGACACTCACACACTCTCCGTCTCCCAACACTATCCACCCGGAAGCTTCAAATCAGGACCAACACAAACTAACATGTCAAACGCAGCCTCGCCCGCCAAGTCCCCGTGACGCAGGTACTCACCCGCCACACCAAAACCACAGGAAACACCATCATCGCGCTACAACCTCAACTATGCAGCTCCACCCGCGCACCAGCACGCCCTCGGCCTCGACGGTCCTCCGCGACTTCCTCAACCAGGCAAAATGCACCTGCTGCACGGTGCGCGTGGTGGAGCTGACCAAGCAGCGCGCCGTCGTGGAGTGGGGTTCCGTCCCATACTTCACGGCGCGGGGCCAACGGGCCGAGTTTGTCTATTACACGGCCGAGCGCGTCGCCGACGTCCGGCCGGATCTTCTTCGGACCTGGACGACGGGACGTTCGGGAGCGGGAGCGGGAGTGGGGCAGCAAGGCAACGGCAACGGCAGAAAGGAGGAGACGGCCGAGTGGATCCGCGACCGACTCCGCGATAGCTGGCTCGTCGAGCAGCTCGCGTACTGGGTCGAGTTTCTCGAGGAGTGGAAGTCGTACCGCGAGTGGTATGTGTACAAGCCCGAGTTGTTCGAGGGCAAGGAGCCGGATGTGCTGAGTCCTGGCTGCGAGGGCTGCGTGAAGCCGCATTGGCCCGGCGGGTTGCGGCGACGGGCTTCATCTTGCGCTTGAATATGTGGGCACGGAAGTTCACTTGCGGTGAAGGCCTTTTAGGATATGGCATTGGCGCTTGCCATGGGATCATAATGGACGGACTGCGTGGTGGGCAAGAAACAAGGGGGAAGCGGTTAACAGGGCTGGAACCGAGGGGCTCGCTTATTCGTTTCTTTGGGTGGAAAGTGCTTTATTCCCTCGGCTAGTGCGTGAGGCTTTGGGACTTACAAGGTTTTTAATCATCGTTTGTGATATCATTTCTCACCTTTGAGGGATTCCGGGAAGGTGGTGTCGTTGGACCAGGGGGAGGGAACTGAACGGGTGATTGGGGGTAGTTGCATGGTGAACGGGCGAAAGGTCTGCAACGAGACGAGTCGGTATGTTTGCTTCAATAACCAAGTAGGTAGCCGTAGCATTAGCTTAGGTAGGTAGGTAGAGTAATTGCAAACGTGGGTGATGTTATAGATATGTAGGTGTACACGTCCAACCCGTCCTGCTTCGACTATTTTCAGCTGTGTCTCCGTCCATGGACCCGGGAGAGCAAACATCGTCAACACCCGCGTTATAGCCCTCGTCTCTCCGTACCATCCACACCTTTCTTGTCAGATCCAAGACTTTTGTTTGTAGAGTTACAACCAAATGACGGTCCCCCACGATGCAGTCTTCCCGCGCGCCCGCGCCGGGCTCGCATACCAATGGTCATGCCCCCGAGTAACATGTCCCGCATGGGAGAGACAAGGGATGTAAGTAACAAGAGGCGAAGAGACTTCAAGATGAGCCAAGACAAGCCATGGGTGGAATCCCGGCCGCGGAACCGGGGACCCCTCATTCCCCGAACAGATTCTCCCCCATGTCCCTGTACTTTTCGTCTCTCCCCTGCGGCAGATCCCCATCTCTGAACCTGACCACCATCCATCTCCCGAATACGTAGGTAGTGTAAGCCACGTATGCGCGCCGTCGAACACAGAATCGTGGCGCCTACACGAGTAAGTATGATAGACTTTTGACGGTCCAAAACTCTCGCATCAAAAGTAGGTACGGCTGTACGAGGCAGTAAAAGAAGGAAACATTACTTCGCTCAGATCTCCAGATCTCTTATCCTTGACGGCACCATCTGATCATCCCGATTCAGTAATAATGATTCCAAGCAGTATGTCACTATGCCGTCCACCTATCACGGCATACCATGCTTCGAACACTCGATTCGGAACTGCATCAACGTCCTGCCCAACCTCTTGGTCCCTCGCGCGGTATCTACCATGCGATTCTCGTTCGACCAAGGACTTGGCGTGCCACGCCTTCAACGTCTCCCGGCACCCTTCATCCCAGTCGTTCCTCATATCCTCCTGGTTCGCCTCCCAGTCTAATTCACAACTGAAAACTGTGCGTGGCAATGACATGGTGTATTGCCGATCTTCAGATGCAGGTTGGCACGTGGATAGAGACATTTTTTGGGTTCACGTTTGCCCGCCAGCCAGCCACGTCAGAAGCCGTTCATCTACGGACGTACCCGCGCATCGATCCAGCGGATACTATCGAAAACAAAATTCCATTACTGACTCGATCGAAACTGCTCGGGACGTCATCAGAGAAGTCAAATAGGTACATGGCTTCTATCCCGGAGCTTACCGTCCTCCCGTTCATAGCTTCCTTTCGTTTCCTTTCTTTTCGATATCAAATCTGGCCGCCCCCGTTCCACTTCATTTCCCCCTACTGCCCTGGTAGACTACCAAGCACTTTAGATCGGACGCCGTCTAACGGGAGCTTCCGTCCTGTCAAACCTTTTCCATACATGGTGAATCTGGATCTGAAATCGCCATGTTTAATATTTGGGCTCCCTGAACGCCTTCTAAATGCCTCTAGTTGAGCCTCAGCCCAACCGCCTCCTTGCCTCAAGAGACGTCACAGTCTCCTAGTTACCCCCGGTGCTTGAGTCTCGGATAGCGACATGATCGATCAACCAGAGATGATCTTGAACTGCTTCAGGCCATCGTAACCGATTTCATGTATCAGCCACCTTGAGCCAGTACACCAGGCCCCCAAAATCCGAGACCGAATCTCTCTCAATTCTTCTTCCCTCCAAAGACAAGCAGAAAAACTCTGGTTAAAGAAAAATGCAAAAAAAGCAATTATCTCAAGGATATGGAACGCCGTCCTACCATCACTCACCCCTGCTACCCATCCCTTCATGAGCACATATCCCTGCTCAACAGCAAGGATCATGAACATTGTCCCCAAAAAGACACATCATTTTCGCAACATCTGTGCGTTGTTTTGTTGGCGCCGCTGTCCTCGGGACCCCCCCTCCTTCGGCTGGCCTTGCGCTCGCATGCCACGATCTTGGGATCTTCATCTGCCCACCACGTCCCCCCCTTGGGCTTCCTTTCTGGATACTCCGTCCACTTCGGCTCCGCGATGTGCTATCACCCTCCGTCTTCATTGGCTCGGAGAAATTTGATGCCGACTGGAACAAAGCGTGGTCGGACATTTGACCATATCGATCGTGAGATCGCGAGATCTCTCTGTTGCTGTTCCCTCCGTCTGGAATCGAGCCGTGGTGGAGGGGAGTCATCGAGTCGTGTACGGCGGCATATGTGATATTCTACCGATCTCGATGGCGGTGACATTTCTTAAACCGAGAGGCTCGCTGCATCGTACACAGTGATGTGGCTGGATGGGCTTGCATTAGATGATCCGTCAAATTTCTGCCACTCCCCCTTCTGCAGCATAAGCATCCCGCATAAAAGCCCACGCAGACGAACGATGGAAAGTCAGCAGCCACCATCCTCACCCACCGTCTCAATCCCACTCGGTTGTGAGATCACAAATCGACGCCGACTTTGTGGACGTCCGAGGTGGAGGGGGAAAGAAGTATAAGGTCGCATGCCCCAATGCCTTGTCGTCGCGCCGTTGTGCGTACCCTCGCGTCGTTGATCGCCCGTGCATATCTCACAGTGCATTTCTGTCTCGTGTAATCCATGTGCTGCTGTGCCGCATGCTCGTCATGTGGTCTGTATGTGGGCGCGTCTATCACCGGTCTGGCAGCAAGGCAAAGAGAGACTTGAGACTCGAGACAATGACAGAGGGAGACAAGACATCTCAGTGCAGGGGGGCTTTGCCATTGTGGGATGAACAGGTGATCAAACACAGACAGGACCACGAAACATCGGATGGCAGGAAGACCTCCATCAATGCAATAGAACCGTTCTGTCTCCGCCGTTGTACCCAAAGACCTTTTCTCTCACGCGCGCGGCCTCTCTCTACCCATTGTGGATCTCAGAGCATGAGGTTTTTCTTCCTCTCCTCGAAGAACGTTCTGCCGAGTCCTACACCACGCACATCCAAGTCACCACGTCCCTAGCATCTTAGAATGTGTCTGCCTGCCTCCGAAAAGGAGTTGAAGGTGACAGGGTCGTGTGAGCGGTATTAGTTTGGTACCTAGTCTGGCAAGAATAAGCAACGAAAACGCAACCCAGCCTTGCTAACCCCGTCGAGGGTGTAACCCCTCCCCATCCAGAAAGTTTCCAGAAAAGCAACAACCACGTGTGACGATGATTCGAAGGATATGATTCCCAGAATTCTGCCAGCGCACAATACTCCGTACACCACGAACTGGACATGTCTCTCTACCCAGTATCCGTAATCTCGGCCATGTATCGCGGCATCGCCGGTTCGTGGAAGCCGCGGATCAAATGCTTTCCCACCTTTTCCCCCCTTCCTTTGGAATGCAGAATGCCGAATGCAGAAATGACAAAAGGCAGAAAGGGAAAGAGACGAGAGTTAAGAGACAAGGAATAAAACGAAACGTCTGAGATTGGAAAGTTTCAAGTGAGACGTTCCGCAATCTCTTCAAAAGAACTCGAGAAGAGAGAGACTAGTTCCCTGCAACCCGCCATCTCCATCACGGTCGACCCATCTCCGACCTTTTTGCCTGAATAATACCCTTTTCTTTCTTCCTTCAGCGCCTTACCTTGTCTCGCCCTGCCCTCGACAAACAGGCCCTCTCGTTTCTTCTTCCGAGATACCAAGACTCATCCAATCTTTTAAACTTTTTTGACCCCTTCACTTCCAAGTTCCCGCTCCTCCCCGGCTCGTCGCCCCTTCACTCATGTCCATCCGGCTCTGCAACTCCCTCTTACCCGGCCGATGATGCCGGAGAATTATCAATATCGAAATGGGTCGTTCACGTCAGAATCACATAGTTCGTCCGTAGTTTTTGATGACCAGCCCATCCGTCGACCGTAATCGGCGAGAAGTTTACCAAGATCTGCCCCGGCAATGCGGAAAAGCAAAACGAAATCGACCGTTACATGTAGTTCGCTGGGCTGGGTTGCATGGATAGGGACTTTTCAATCTCCAGCCCAACCCTGTGATCCACTCCCTCCCCGAAAAAGAGATTCTCTTTCTCCCTTTTAGCCCTGGCCCTGACCCTTACGCAAGGCACGGGACGATCACCCCTTCGGGCTCCGGGGGCCATCTTGCTGGTTGCTACCCTGTGTTGCGAACTATCGGATGACACGCCGGCCGTACCGAGGTCGGTCGAGTTCTAGATTTGAACCTGCGTGGGGGGAACTCCCGAATGGTACGGGACGAAGAAGATGAGTGTCCATACTCGAAACAGGATCACCAGAGTCGTGAGGTCATCTATCGATGAGTTAATTTGAGGTCTTGATCTCTAATGGACTGATGCTGACGGCTCTGATGGTAGGCTTTGCCACAGAAGAGTTGGGCACGGGAAGGCATCTATCTACGCGGTGGAACAATTACAGCTCCGGCATTGAGCTTTCCTACAACCTATAGACTCTGTCATCCTTCCACCGCGTCGCATCTGGCATTGAGTTGCAATCTTCCTGTCCTTGACGTGACTCGTATTGTCTTCACTCATGGATTTGAGGTCTAAGTATTGGATACGGGCAGAAGGAGTGAGTCGGGCGCCAATGAAGGGCCAGAAAGACTGGTAACTGAAGGAATGAAGCTGCGATGAATAATTCTATATATCTACTCATGAATGTCAGCGTCTGGATACAGCAGGCTAGTGCTACACTGACTACATTTTCGACCCCTTATGGACGATTTCCCGAATGACCATTTCCCTGCTCATCGTTTCACTTGGGTGCTAGATACAACGGAATGGTACTCGTACGTCCATGAACAGTTTTTTTTTTTTCCAATCATCAGAAGAGAGCCGTCGGCAAGTTCACGCGTCACCCATTTTCGGGGGTATAGGTTCTCTTCATATCACTCCTCGATCACAGCTGATTGATTTGCCTTGCAGTCTAGGCTGTCAGGGTCGTCAGAGGAAACCCTTTCAGATATTATGTCAAGGTAATTGGGGCCTGACTGGACGCGGTCTCAATCGGATTACTGTCAGTTCGAACGATTCGGTGTGGCGTTCGGCTCTGGAGGTTGCCTCTGTCTTAGCATTTTGACGTCTGCCAATGCCAAGCAGCCATTTCCCTCCCACTACGACTGGCCAGTCATCCATACATGTAAATTCACACCACGACTAGAAGTGATATCTCAAGTATCACATAGTGTCTGGGCGCACGTAATGGTATCGCATACCCCAGATATCTACCGGGCGTAGGGCTGACAAGATCGGCAAGATCTGCTCCGCCCGGGGCAAAAAACGTCTCCTCGAGAGCCTCCTCTATCCAGATCTCGAAATCTCTAGGTCTCTAAATAAAAGATTAAAGGCAAAATTGCACATGATGATTCCACGGGCTACAACACATCTCCAGGTCTTTTCTTGTACTCTATCTCAACTTCATCATAATCAATAGAAACCATCTGTCCAGAATGAAACTCCCCATCGTAGGCCTTTTATTCTCACGCGGTTCTGCGCCCTTTAGCTATTGGAACGACCGCGCTCAAACATTCGGAGCCTCACCGCCCACGGTCTTCGATAACCAATCCATCGAGATTCTCCAACAGGCAATAGCAGAGCCCAACGCCACGCGTCAAATATCGTTCCGCCCCTTTGAGGTCTTCTCAGGCAACGCTCGGCTGCTCGGACAAGACGAATGGACATGGCGTACGATTCTAATTCCCCCTTCCAGACACTGAAAAGACTTACATCTCACCACCAGGCGTAAACATATCCGACTTCAGTCTTCCCCACCTCGCCCAAAACACCACAGAGGCAAACCTAGGCCGAAACATCACCGAACCGCACTACATCGCCACCTCATACTCGCTATCCTGGCCCCTCGGAGGAAACCTTTCATCCGGCGGTCTCCGCGGCTCTGATTCTCCCTTTTGCGTAACGTCTCTAGACGTCGAGTTCTCTCCCAACGTCACCAACCTCTGGACCGAGGAGAATGGCAACAGCACGGACTGCGAACCCGTCCTAGGCGAAGCATGTCTCGAAGCCCTCCACGCCTCCGATAAATCCCTCACCCGAGATAGCTGCGACGGAAGAATGCCCTCGTGGAAGACTATCCCGGAGTGTAATACCACGTTCGGGTATGGTGCCGTGATTTATGGAGCTAGGACGAGTAACCTCAACCCCAACGTAACGAGTAATTCCACCCCAACGACGGGGGAGAGCACGTCGCCGGTAACAAGTGGGAGTGAGATTATGGGGTTCGGGAGCGGGTTGG